AAATTATTCCCTTTGACATTTGTTTAGGCTGCACTTTGATAAAATGCTGTCTATGGTCCACTTTTTTAGTTTGGCATTCAGCAGGCTGTTACACATTTATTTCTCTTTGCATTATCTTATCTTCCTTTCTAGAATATTTGGGCTTCCTTTTTATATTTTAAGTTACATTTTGGGCATAGACAGATCACCTTAGTGATTGTACACTGGAGCATTGAAATTCCTAAAGATAATTTTGCAAGCCTTTAGCATATACTTAACCCCACTAACTGTCTAAATATGAGTACATACCTATGTTCTTTTTGTGTTGCCTGTGAATAAGCAAAGAGCAGATTAAGTGCTGAAAGTGATTTCAGGCCTACGGAAACTTTCTTTGGGTTGATGGGACAGTAGCAATTTCTGAAGAAATGCAAATCTGGCCTTGAATCTAGAAGGTGATTCACTTGATTGGGGAAATAATGAGGAATTTTCTTTGTGTTTCCAATTTATATACAAGTGCCTTGTCACTGATACACTTTTTGCACTGTGCTTTTTAAAAAGGCATATATATAAAGGAAGCATCAGAACTGTAAATATTTTCATTTTCTCAGAATTTAAAAGGCTGAATCGAAATTTGCTGTTGGGAAAATAAAATACAGGAACATTCAATTTAAGCTTCTTCATTTATTACAATGCTTGCCATTTTGTCAAAATAGACCTCTGTGTATTTTCAGTAAAGTATTCAATATTAGGTGCTTTAAGTAAGTAGCTGTGTTAGCAAATTGGCTTCTGGGAATAGTGAAGGTATAGAATCTGATGCTAGATGGCAGATGAAGTTAATCTTTTATAAAAATTTAAGTTCAGAAATCCTCACCCTCAAAAACCTTGACTTTTACAGCAGAGATAATGAAAGCTCATAAGTACAGAATTAGCTCACAGTGATTAAAACTATTAGTTAAAATGTATTAGCTTAATAAAAAGTTATTTAAGATTCATATTATAAAGCTTATTGGTTTTAAAAATTAATGTTATGACTCTGTCATCCTAGAACTAAGCTTGCTTTCCCTGGCATTCTTATACAAAGAGGTAATGGTCACATGCAGAACATCTTTGTAAGGGTCCTAAAGTGTAAAATGTTCATTTTTTTCTAGTTTTATATACTTTTATTATCTTCTGCAAATTACTCTTTGATTTAAATAGACTGGAATTATTGAATGTAGATTTCTATCAAGATGTTTTTGGAGACAATGTCATTAATTGGGGTCACTATTTAAATGAGGGTTTCAAAATATCTATAACCCTCCTTACACTAATTTTATTCAGAGTTTTATCATTGTATAATACCAGTGCTTATAAAATAGATTTATTAGCGAAAGTCAAACAAAAACAATGCAATGAGGAAATAATTATGAAGAACAAAATTGATTATATTGTGTATACATATTAGTATTAATGAGTGTTTTTTAATGTACTTTTATAAAAACAATATAAATGTAATTAGATTTGGGGCTGTATTTAGTGATAACATCTGTAAAAATTTAGGAATTGATATATGCTATTCTCTGGCAGAAAAATGATAGAAATTAATTTATTGAGAAATACATGTTAAATTCTGGAAAGACTGAATTATAGAATTACAGGAGAAAAGGGAGTTTCTAAGGGTCATTCTTGAGATTGATGATGACTTTTAAGTGTTATTAAAGTTTTATAATTCTGAATTTTGACTTGGAAGAGGAAAATGTGTTAAAAAGGACTATAGGACATAGAGCTATAAAAATGGACAAAGGTAGCCTAGCTGGAAGATGCTCGTGGCTGTCCTAGTGGCAGAAGATGTAGCTGTACCGGACACGTGTGTGTGACAGTGTGTGGGCACTTACTATGTATGTGGAGCGAGAGCATCAGGTAAACCATAAATAGCTTGATGAGGAAATGAGCAAATTTCATATGTGCCAAGTATTTGACGCATGTTCCTGTAGTGTATTTGGTGACTGAAAAGCTTCATTTACAATTTTTTCATGTTTACGCTTACGATAGTTTGTGGAATGAAATAATAATACAGAAGATTATATACAGAAAATAATTACAAACTAGCCTATCCACTCTACCAACCATGAGATAATAACTATTAACATTTTAATGTGTTTCCATGTCAAGAACTGTGAAGGGTCTGACACGCTCCCTGTGGCACACTGACAGATTAGCCTGCTTCTGTTTCATGGGTGCAGGCAGCAGACCAGGGACTTCTAGGTCAGAGACAAAGGACTTTGTTGCTCAAGGTGCAGACAGCACCATCACCATATTTAGGTCAGTTCTTCATTCCCAAAATTCCATAAAGGCAAGGCAGATGGGCCTGATAAACACCTATAGTTTCAGTGGGTTGCATTAAAGGAGAGCAACCCTGAGCTTAGGAAGCCCAAATCTTTTATATTGGGCAGTAACATGCCTGCCCTCTAGTCTGGAAGGAGGCTGTGTTATACAGGACAGTAAGCATGACTATTCCTGATCCTAAAGGAGACGCTGCCTCTGTCTTCCAAGGCTATTTATTATACAAACATCCTTGAAAAATTGTGACAAAAAAGGTAGTGCCTATGCTCATAAAAAGTATATAAAATATAAGACTCATAGAGAATTGTCTTTTGATAAACATAACTGTTTTCATATGTTATTAAGCTATTTTGCAACAGCATTTCATGTAGCTGCATGTAGCCATAAAGAGTACATCAGGGATGTAGAATAATTTACTATGAATTCCTAATAATGATTTTTTAGGGTTTTTTCCATTGAAAATTTTCATCTGGACATTTTAATTTGGGACAGAGTGGGATAAAGTATTGTAATCAGTGGGTTCTCTCTGATTTGAAGTCTACGCAGCCTCTTCAGCTTGGCCTTAGGCATAAGTATGCATTGGCTATAAACAACAAGCATGTCAACTGTCTCAAGATGTTATCCAGAAAGAGATAGGCTCTGTGAGGGTGGATATTAATGCTGCTTTGGTAGTCCAGGCTGCACTGGTTTTCCTCTGGAAAGTGGAGATATTTCCTGACATTTCTGCTGCTCACATGTCTGAGCCCAAGTCAGAAGCTTCTACTACCTGGCATTAGCAGGGCCTAGAAAAGTCCATACAAATTCCTACAGTGAAAAGGGGAAATATGGGAGATCCAAATAATGACCATATTGTCCAAATATCTGGAGAGGGTCTGGTCTGGTGCTGGAGATTAAAGAAAGGCAAAACATGATCATGACCAGGTTTTAGTCCTGGGACTTGTGCACAAAAAAAAAGTCCCAATATTGAGCCTTTCCTGGTAGTGTAGGGTCTCCTCAGTGATCTACAGTATTGCTGAAGTGACACAAATAGCTGGGATAAGACTTCCCTCAGTAGAAAGAGCTAAATGAATCACACTAGGCGAACCATTTCCTAGTTCATAATGGTCCTGGAAAATTCCAGATTAAAATTTCAAAAGATTTTGCCAGAAGATTGGGTTATAAAATGGGAGGAGACAACTTTAACACTTTAACTGAGTAAGCAGTGATCACAGAGTAATCAGGAATCAAAGCATTGTAAATTTTTTTTTAAGTGAGAGGAAGAGTTGTATATTGGTTTCTTCAAAGCTTTTGAGAAGTATAAAGTGAATGTCTGTATTCCTTGGACAAACTATTTTGACACCCTTTCTGTGATCAGTGCACTTCTAGAAGCTTCTAGAAGAGTTGGTGGAACACAAGAAAAATGAGTACAATTATAAATCTCTAAGATCCTTTTAAATGTGAAGAGTCCTATGGGAAAAGAAAACAGTGTAATGTGCCAGACCAGCAGCTTGGGTATAAGGGGAATGGTGGTGAGACTGCCGGGGAGAGCAGGTGGAGATGGCTTTTCTGAGGAGGCTACTTTGAGCTGAAACCTGAATGATAAGAAGCTGCATGAGGTGAAGCCATTTTAGTCAGAGGGAACAACAGAGACAGAGCTTATAAAGTGAGAACAAGTGTAACATTTTCAAGGACCAGAAGTGAGTTCAAGAACAGAATGTTTTGGAGCCTAATGATTGAAGAGGGAGAAATGGAAAAAGATGACCTCATAGAGGTGGTTAGGTCCAGTTGGTATAACTAGTTGCAGGCATCAGTAAAGGGTCTGGATTTGAAGTCTAATGAGTGATGCAATGGATTTTTCATGCAACAGGATGGTGGAATCTGGACTTACAATGTTTTTATGGATTACTTTGGCCTCTGTACCAGGGAGACCAGTGGGTGAGCTATAGATGCTAGTGGTTGGGAAACATTTCCTAGAGAGTAGATAAGTTTAGATAAGAGATGTATTTTGGAGTAAAACCTAATGACATTGCTGTTTGTCTCTGGGTGTAGAAGGAAGGAAAGGAATCAAGGAAGATTTTAAATTTGGGGCTTGGGCTACTGGTGGGTAGTGATATAATTACTGAGATGAGGAATACTGAAGAAGGCATGTTCTTTTTTGTGGAATGATGTGAATCACTAATTGCATTGAAAGTAAAAAGGGAAACCTAGTAAATATCTCTTCCTGCCTTCAAAGGGAAATCTTGCAGGGGAAAAATAATACTTGATATTGAAGTTGCTGCCCAACTTTGCTGGGTTGTCTTGGAGTACATAGAACTTTACTTGACAAATCGATGGATGGATGGATTGATGGATGAATGGATGGACAGATGAATAGATAGAAGAAAGGATGGATGGGCATATGGATGAATGACTGGATGGACAGATGGGTAGATGGATGAAAGTGTTTTAGAAGTGAATGTTCAGATTGACTCCCTCCCTTTCTCATATACAAATATATCTATGAAGCCACTGAAAGATGCCTCATTTAGAAGGCACAGTGTGTGAAGTCTCAGGGATTCTGATTCAGACAACTTTGTCCATTCTGAGAGTCAAGGAGGTAGTTTGTCTTAAATATTATCCATAATTCTTTCCCTTTGAGGCAATACTTCATTGCTCATTTCAACTATAAATGACAATATTTTTTACTTTAAAAATTATCACAATAACCTTTATTTTACCAGACAGGAAGCGCTGCTTGCGGCAATCAGTGAAAAAGATGCAAACATTGCCTTGCTGGAATTGTCTGCCTCCAAAAAGAAAAAGACGCAGGAAGAAGTCATGGCCCTCAAGCGGGAGAAAGACCGACTGGTGCATCAGTTAAAGCAGCAGGTGGGGCCTTCTGCATGGAAGGTGTATTTTGCTGGGTTTGGTCCTTGGGTGCTTTCTCTGGGTTTAGCTACTCTTCATTTTCCCATGTCCATCCTGCAGGCTCAAACAGCTAAAAACAGGTAGGTGTGAAGTTGCCCGAGTTGCCACTGGATCACCATTTACTGCTTTTCTGTGTGGATATGCATGTGCTTGGGCTTGTGTGGTTTGCACCCAGCGCTGTTTTCCTTTCTTTTGTGTTAGCATCATTTCTGCAGAAATAGCTGTCAGCTCTCTTCCTTCCCGTGGATTTTGTATGACTTCTGATTAAATCCTAAGAACTACTAATTAAATTCTGGGCACATCCTCCATCTATGGTCTTCTGTCTTGTTCACTCTTTGGACCCTATTAAAAAACTCCCTTCAACCAGTTCTTTATAATTCTTTCTTACATACTTCCAACTTCAACTATTTCCTCCTGGACCTTTCAGCTGAGGAACACCTCCCAGCCCTGGCACTGCTAGACTATGTTTGGAGACCTCCCTGGCCATTATTCAATTGAATATTCTTTTTATCACCTCTTTACCCCATTATCCTGCTTTTTTCCTCTTTTGACTAGGCCACAGTATTTCTTCTGAGGGAAAAGGAAGGAGAGACAAATTCCTAATTTGTGCAGGAAGTTCTTTACTTTCTGTAGGGTTTTCTGGAAGTGGCTTGAATAGAAATAATTGTACCTAAAGCATGTTATAAAATCAACCCTAAAATCTTCAGACATTATTTCTGCTCTTTATACAGTGTGGGGGCTTTGGGAAGCAGTGGTTAAAGATATTCACTCAGATTCTAGCTTCTTATGAAAGCCAGCAAATATTATGGCTCAATGGTCTGTGGTCTCACAAGGTGGCTGTCACATCTTAGCTCAGGCCACATGTGGCTCTGAAACTCTCCAAATGCCACATGGTACCATGTGGATTGTGTCCACAATGATTTCAGGCCCTGGCCTGGATTGTTGCCTGCTAGGCTGATCTGGGCTGAGCACAAAATGCAAAGTGAGTGGAAGGGAAGCCCAGCCAACCCTCCCTCCTCAGGAAGGAAAAGGCATCCTTTGGCCTTGAACCAGAGTCCATTTCTCATGGGGCTGCCTTGCTGAGAGAGACCACCACCATGCCTGGGTACCTTCTGCAGAGGAAGGGTCCCAGTCACTGCCAGACATTGGAGTCATTCCACAGAGCAGCATGCCTTGCTAGTGCTGGCCCCGGGGGTTGGGAGCCACTTCCATCTGACCTCTTTGTTTCGGGCTGTGCATCTTCTACACTAGATTTTTCACCCACTTGGCCATAGAAAGGCAAGATGAGCCTTCTTCTTTAATTTCTCCTAATTCCTTTGCTGTGCGCCCTGCGCCCTCCCCTCCTACACCTAACCATTGTAGCTTTTTCCCACAGGTTTATAGACCTAGGAAACAGGCCCTGAGCTCGAATATACCATGCACTTGTGATGCTTGCTACAGCCCAGATATTACGGCCAAGTACCACGGGTCCAGCTACGATGCATACATGATCCAAAGGTCTCAGGTCAGTCAGCGGCTAAGGAAACACTTGCCCCTGCCACGGGGGTGGGGGTAAATAAGAGCTACATCCTATCTTGACCTTCTCCTCTTCTGACGATTTTCAGTACTTGGTAGGCATAAAGTCTGAGAACATAACTGATAGCATTATATTTTGATTTGTGGTATACTTTCATTTATTATATATTTGCCAAGGGTTCCAGACTTGGTGGCTGCCCTACAAGGCCAGCTCTTCCGAAATAGTGTGGCATTGCTGTGGAGCCAAGGCTGCTGGAGGCCTCACTGTCAGGCATAGCGAATTATAGTTTTCTTTCTGTCTCTTAGATACTTTGCTCCTCATATATCCCTCTACTTTCCCCAATAAGGAATTTTTTTAAGGCTGCTTTTTTCTTTCTCGGTATCATGAAAATGCACTCCTAGATTCCAGGAAGGATTGAGTGTAGCCCTTCAACTGACTCCTGGGGAACTGCACAAAGCCTTCATTATTCACAACAGGCTTGGTTTTGGGTATCATGGGGCACCTTTGGGAAACCCCAGCCATGCAGAAGTAGGCTCCTGCCTGGGCTAAGGCAGGGTCTGGAGGGCTATTGTGGAAAAAGAGGCAGCAAAGGAGAAGGATGGGCTCCTTGGTGATTTCGGTTTGAAATCCTTTCCCATACTCTATCCACCACAGAGCAAGAAAAGGCACATCAATTTATGTAGTCTTGTAAATGATAATGATTCTAAGAATAATGCTTAGTTTGCTTATAGAATCACCTTCTTTTATTAAGTGTTTGCTCTATGCCTGGATGTGTATCCAGTGTCCAGAGGATTTGGTCCTGCCACCCTCACAGTAGCCCTGTGGTATGGGTACCAGGATTACATTTATTTTCTAGGGGCATAACTGAGACTCATCATGTGGAACAATCAGCTCAACACACACAGCAATAGAGCTTGGGTTTTGGGTGGCCCATCTGAGTCCACACGTGCCCCACCAAGTTCAGAAAGGAATTCAAAGTGATAAGCAGAAGGGTATTCCAGAAAGTGTGAGGTTCCTGAAGTTTAGGTGCCCAAATCCTCATTTAATAATGTTCTACAACCATTTACAAAGAGTGGGTTCTACCCAGAGCTTTTAGACTTAGGCCATTTAATCACATCTGTGATTACTAATGCTTTTTGGCTCTCACCATTTGCCAGTGACAGGTATAGGTATGAGGGCTTTACATATATAAACTAATGAACTCCCAATACAACTGAAGGATAGATGCTCCTGCAGAAAAGGACATGGTACCTTGTGCTTGGACATGGACAAGGAACCATGTCCAGAAAGGTCAGGTGCCTTGTTCAGGTTTCACAGCTGGATGCACCGTGAAGCAGGAAGAGACCCTTTGCCATACAACCACAAGTGGATTTTGTAGATTCCACCTGGATTTGGAGTGCTTAGGGTGAATCTCAGTTCTAGCACTTGTTAGGTGAATAATCATGGCAAGAAACTAAACCCGCCTGAACCTTGGTTTTCTCATTTGTAAATTGAGTTAATAGCCTATGTAATTAAATGGGTTGTTCTGAGATATAATGTGTATAGAAGTAATTTATGTATGGCTAACACATGATAGGCGCTGAATATATGTGAGGTGCTTTTGCTACTACAATTAATAATCATTGATTTTATCACTGCCAACCCTCAGAGACAATTTGGTTTCATCATTGCTGCTTTTCACATGCCTGGGAGTCACAACTCACTGAACACAGTTCAGAGAATGTACTATTGAACTGTGGGAGACAGAGCAGACAGATGTCCCCCATACCCTCAAATCCAAGTACTTGGGGAGTGGTGAGCAGACATGCCAGGAACTCTAGACCTCAGCTTTCAGCCTGCACTGAACAGATTTATTATTGAATTTGCTTGGTTTCTGCATCCAGTCCACATAGACCTCAGTAACATAGGACATCCCCGGGACAGCAAGTCTCAGACCTCAATTACCACCTGTGTGACTGACTTAGGAGAACAGAGCTGTTTTAGATACCCAGGACAATGGGAGAAGAAGGCCATGGGTCTGGGTATTCACCTGTCTGATGTTCTCCAAGGATGCTAAGGCAGACAGGGTCATGAGGGATTCCACTCTCTTCAGACTGCATTTTGAGCTTGTTTCATTTCATGCAGAAGGTCTCTCCACTGCCGATGACATTCCCAGTGACTGGATATGAGTAACTCATACCACAATCCCCATGGTCAGTGCACTTTGCTAACTACATGGTAGGCACTCAGTCAACATTTGTTGTATGAATGAATGCATGATTCCCACATGCCAGGCTCTATGCCAGGTGCTTTATATATACATAAGTTTACAAACATTATCTCATATTTTCCTTATAATCAACCAACCAATACATTGCCTACCTATATGCACTAGGTTCTCTGCCAAGTTCTAGGGGTTCACCCCAGCAGATATGTTACCTGCCCCAATGAGAAAAGCATCATCCTGATTTTTCAGTTGATCGAAGCAAGGCTCAGACAGAATAGATGACTGAACTACCATCATACCACTCATACCTGGCAGAGCAAATTTATTCCTTACTTTTTTTGGAGTGCTGACACTTTACTCTTTGCTGGGCTGAACACCCTAATGCAACACTGTGAGCCATGGATTAGCCCCCTCGCAGATGTCATCAGAGAAGCCCAGTTCCAATGCATCAGCCTGTGACTCCCAAGATGCTCAGGGGCATGATAATGAGAAGATGGGGGTAGCTTGGTGAGACCAAGTGCCATGTTGGACTTCAGTTCAAAAGCTACTCATGGAGTTCCTTCTCTGTGTTAGAATGCTAGGTAATTTTGGAATACATCAGTGACAAAATGAAGTCTCCTTCCTCATGGAGTTTATAATTAGAGGAAAGAAAAGTAACAAATCATGAACATAATTAATAAATAAATTGTATGATAGAAAAAGAAAAGTATAAAGGGGAACAGGGGTACCAGGATACAACCCATGTGCTGGTGACACTAAAATAGGGTAGACAGGATGGGCCTCATTGGGAAGGTGATGTTTGAGCTAATATTTGAAGGGGGTGAGGGAGTGAGCCTTGTGAATATCTAGAGGAATAGTGTTCTGGCAGAGGGAATAGCTGGTGCAAAATGTTCTAAGACTGGTATATTTTAGGGCAGAAATTGTCTGCAGTTAGGAAGCAGAATACACCAGCCATGCAGCCTTAGAACAGGGAGACCTCCCTCAGGAACCACTCCAACTCCCTGTTTAAGCCTGCCTAACTGAGCCTGTTCTCCAGCCTCAGAAATCTCAGTTAGCTTGCAGCCTCCAAATCTCCCTGGTTCCTGCCTCCAAGAAATCTCAGTTAGCTTGCATTTTTAAAAAGCATTGCCACTTTTATTGTAACCACAAATTATGAATGCCAGAGTTTGCTTGTCAAAGTTGATGAGTTTTTCAAGAAGAGGAGGAACAGGTCCCTAAGACAAAATGCCCTCCCTGACTTTCTGGCAGTTGCAAGAACATACCATTGGAGTCTGAACTCCTGCACTCTGCTTGCTGTAAAGAGGCTGGCAGGTGGACAGTAGTGGCCACCACCATGCTCAGGGTGATGGCCATGCCTTGGGGAAATGCAACCAGCTTCCAGAACTGGCCAGAGGTTCTCAAACCTCAGTGGGCAGAAGCATGATCTTTTCCAAAAATAAATCTTAGGATACTCATTACCCTCCAGTCCTCACTTATGAAAAACCTTCTCTGGGTTACCTCACTGTTGGGACAAAGATAAATTCAGAACAATGTGCTCTCTGCTTTGTACATGTGATTCCCACTGCCTAGAACACATTTCCTTCTTTTCTTCACCTACTTAATGCCCACTCATCCTTTCCATTTCAGCTCCACATCATTTTTTCAGGGAAGCCTTCCGGGACTTTCTCAGCCAGGGCAAACCCCTATAGCTATTTGGCACTCCTGTAGCATGTATACATCACTTAATTACACTGTAATGGGTACCATTTTGCATTTTTTCCTGTGATTATGTAAATAGTAACTATCTACTTTGCTAGTTTATGAGCTTCATGAGGACTGAGAATGTTGCCGAATGACTTTTTCTACTGACCATTTATCTGCAGGCCTAGCACATAGTAGGCATTCAGCCATTATTTGTTCAACATATAATGAATGAACAAATGAATTTTTAGGGCAGCTTATTTAAAAAAAAGAGACACACATCTTTGATCAATTATGACTTTAAAACAAGAGTCAACTTCATAATTCTTCTTACCCCAAAATTCTAAGCAAACAAACACCAGCTTACAGGAGTTCATAGGACAAACAGATGAGACCTTTTGCCATGTTGCAAGACATTTTACAGAAATGCCTTTTCTCATACTTGAATTATTTGTAGTCGTGACCATTTTGAACCTTTTCTTTGAATTTCTTCATATTCTAGTTCAAATCCCCCTCAGTTTGGGGAATCCTTCCTCATTAAAACGCCACTGTGTTTCTGAATGTGACAGAGATTACTTTTTAGGAAGGGAGCCCTTCCGTTTTATCCCTGAAAACGGAGTGTCTCATAAATCAATTTGCCTAGAAATACCTAAACCCCTGTTAAACATCTGTCAGGAGAGCCAGGGAAGAAGTCATGAAATGAGTTCAGAAATTCCAACTATGCTTAACAACAAAAGGATCTTTACGATACTCTTCAGGTGTTGATGCAAATGCTGGTTGTTGGCATTGTTGGCTCAGTATGGGGTAAAGGTAAGAGAGCAATACTGGTAACTTTCTGTTACGTGTTGTATAAAAAAGGATAAAAGGTTAATTATAGTTTGGTGGTAGATAATTGTATTCTTCCTAATTCCATCCCTTCACAAGCATATGCCCCTGATACTTGTAACCTACCTTTTTCTTTAAAAAAAATCTGGCTTCCAGATTTTTTCCAGTTTTGGGAGAGAGTCTCAGCTGGGAATGAGTTACCATTTTGTGTTTGTTTTTGTTCTTCTCTAGGGAGAGTGGTTCTAAATATATTATTAAAAATTACCGTCTTTTTTTC